TAACAGGTGCAGATGGACCTAAAACACTTCCCAGGCAAAATGAAAAAGTGTGTGAAAAAAGTGAAGTGGTCGAATTTCGACAACGGGGCGGTACTAGTATATATAAAAATGGTGTGAAAAATGTATAGTAATTCATCAATTGAGAACGGTTGGGCCGATTTGGCTAACATTTTTTTTAGTTGTTCGTAATTGCCAGGAGAAGGTTTTTACTAAAGAAAATTTTGGGAAAACCCTCCGGGAAAGTCGGAAATTTGGAAAAATCGAAAATTGATTTTTTTGTATGGAATTTTATGTGCAATTGCTTCGGGATGGCATTTGAATGGAAAAATAGAAAATTCTAAGTGGAAAACTCGGAAGAACGCGAAAAATTTTAATTTTTTCCGACGAAAGCTTGGAAAATTTCGGATAAGTGTGAAATTCATTGGGAGCATGAATCAATTGGGAGCAATTTTTTCCTATGTTTTATAACCGATTCGAATGGGTGCTGCTATTTTGGAAAGGGGTTTAGAAGGAGTGCACAAAGTTTTAATTTTTCCGATAGGTGGCGGAGGGGTCGAGCTACGTTAAAAAAATGCATTTGGTACGTTGGTAGCCTTTTGCCTAGATCAGGATATAGGATCCTCCTTTCCGTTAAGTGGGCCAGGGTCCCATCTCTCCGAAAAAGTATTTTTGGTCTAGTTTGCTTGAAATTCGATACCCGTATTATAGATATGCGTAGAATAGAACCGAGTCATTGTTTTACAGTTCGAAAGGTGTTTAAAGGCGGCGCAAACATGCGGGTATTGGCCAATACTTATTACACAGGCCAACAAAAATGGGAAAAAATTTTATGCAGCAAATGTTAACGCCATTTTTTTTGTATGCTGATTACGAATCCGTAAGCATAAGGTTTCCATCAGCTCCAGATTTTAGGAAAAACGAGGTCAGAGTGTCAAAAAATCGCGTTTTTTCAATATTTGAGAAGCTCAAGCAAAAAGGTAATAGATCCTTTCACTTAGACCTAAAATAAAGCTACAACTCTCGAATACCATCCTTGCGAATTCCTGCACCTTTGCTTGATGGTCACTTGTAGTCATTTGTTGAACAGGAATAACTGATTTTGGGAAGTTTGAGTACCTACCGCAATTAAGCAAAAGGTGAAAGAACCTTCCACTTACTTTCAGGGATAGTAGTCTGTAGTTCTAGCTTTAATTTAAGCCTAAGTGGAAGGTTCTATCACATTTCATTGCTAGAGCTTCTCAAATATTGCAAAAAGCGCGTTTTTTTGACATTTTCACCACATTTTGCTCAAAATCTGGAGCTGATGAAAACTTTATACTTACGGATTCTTAATCAGCACAAAAAAGCATATCCAAAGCAGCATTTGCCGCATCAAAATCGGTGTTGCCCTGTATTACCTACACTAATTATATAAAGAGAAGCTCCTTCTTTTTATAAGAGGTGATCTCGCGAACGGCTGTACCGATTTTTTGAAATTTTAGGCACCTACTGCAGACTTTCGATATTTTAGGGGAGCGTGGCATCACCCACACATATCGAATTTTTCATACCGTAAATCTCTGGAAGTATTTGTGGA